TAAGAAATAATAGGTCACTTTCGAGTAGACTCGTTCCACTCTAAAGACAATAGAAATATGTTCCAGTATTTATTCTTAGATTATTACGTTTTATATTCACTTATAGTATATATATATATATATATTGGTAATATTGCATACATAGATAAATATACCAAGTCAATGTTGTTGTTTTATCGAGATACCGATCTTTGCGAATTTGTATCGATAACGATTAACGCGATCGAACATGTATGTAATACAATACTTCCGAGTCTTGGCCTTTTCCTTTCTTTCAACCATCTCAAAATTTATTGACTCTAAGCTCACATGGTGTCTATATATTTGACTATTTATCTCTATAAGGTATGTACGTGAAATAAAATTGTATTATTTATAATATTTATCATTTCCAAAATTATTATTATTATTATTATTATTATGTGAATTACTACTATTAGAAATTAATTTCTATAAAGAAAAAAATTGATTATACTGTTATATATAAAGTATTTTATTATTATCTTCAAATTATCATTTATTCTTATAATACGATAATTTATTAAATCCAAAAAAAAAAAGAAGAACTAATAATAAAATGATGTATTTTATATTTTACTATACATATATTCTTCTTTGGTATTAATATATGTTTTATATAAATACAATTTTTAAATATATTTATAAGTGTATGATAATATATTAATTATATATAAAACTATTATTATTCAAAACGTGTTCAGTAACCAAGTGGATATATTTATGCGAATTAACGAATAGAGATTTTAGCGATTCTATTCGTGGCTGGCACGGGTACTATCATCATCATAACTAATATTCCTACTTTCTGGTTTTCAGGGAATAAAACGTATTACCAAGAGACGATTACGAATCCATTTCTGCAGAAAGATAACAACGAGATTCTTTTAGAGGTTCCTTTTTAACAAGAGTCCGTTCGTTTCACGATAAATGTTTCGTTTCTTTGTAGTTGCTACGATCTCAACGATGAGATGTGCACCCTAATCGAGAGATTAGAATGCATCACCTTACTTTCCCCTTCCCCCCTCTCCCAACCCCACCCCAAACGATTCCTACCATTGACATTGACGATGCACGCTCGAAGAAAATTCAAAATAATCAACATAATTATTAACCCTCTGTAATTTGTTTTTAATAAGTTTCTCTTTGTAAAAATATTATTTAATTTCTTTTCTTTTTTAATAATTATCTTGTATTTTTTTCAATAATTTGTCGAATCTTTTCCCGTATCAATTTTTCTCAACCAAGTGACAAATTTTAAATTGCAATTTATTCTCTATTTTTTTCGTTTTAATGTTGCAAGTACCGAAACTATAAAATAAAGAGCAAAATTTACAAAGATTCAATACATTTCGGGTTTGTTGGCAAGCAAGCAACAAGGAGAAGTCACCGGTGGGTTCAAAATCGGGGACGTTCAACATATGGTTCAATGAACTCCGATGTAAGATAAGAGTACGACCGATTTAATTTTTTATATATATATATATATATATATATATATATATTGTTTCAATTGTCTTTTATATTATATTATATCTTTTTATATTTTCTACGCTCGCCCATTTTTATTTTCCAAGGATAATACTATTCGTCCCACGACAAGGCTCATCGTTATTCTTCATTCAATGTCTTTCCACCATTTTTTGCGTTTACTTTAACGAACGTAGGCGGCGTACGAAAGTCCCTCTTCTCTCTATTCCTTTTTTCTTTTTCTTTTTTTTTTTTCTTTTTCTTAACTACCAATCTTAATTAAAATGCATAGCTTGTATAAGTCGTTTGAGCACGGAGAAATCCATCAACCGCACGACCGAAAATAGAACTATTATTTTATTTATTTTTTTTAACAATAAAAAAAAAAAAAAAGAGAAAAAGAAACACTACCGAGAAATCACGCGTACGTAAATGATGTATGATATAAAGAAAACAGATAAAACAACGATTAAACAGTTCGTTTGTATAACTCAGATAGAGGGAGGGTGGTAGGGGGGAAACGTTTACGATTGAAGATAAAAATTTTCAAAAGGAACGAAAGAAGATCCGATAAAAAAAAATGTCTCCTATGATTTATATACTATCCTTAAAATAGACGATTACGTAATGAACGAAAACAACCTAAATAAAATTAGAAAAGAAATGTCCCATTGTTTTGTAACAACGCGAATTACAAATTACGACGACGTATTAAAAAATGTAATGAAATTAAAGTAACGCCTTAAGATTATTCTAATCTACAAATTTTGATAAAACAGTCGAACCGTCCTACGGAACACCGATGGTTGGTTATGGTGGTTTGTTATGGTGGTGGTCCGTGAAAAAAAAAAACCGGGAGTCTTCCCCTTTTGTTCGACGAGTCGTTCTCCGAGACACGAGTCGCCCGCATTCTTTCCGTGGGTACACAGAAAAAAAAAAAATAAAAAAAGGGGAGACTGTCCCCCCCCCACGCCATGCCACGTCTCAACCCAACCCACCCTATACTCCACCACCCCAGCCCAACCCCTTCTTCTTTTTCTTTCTGTCTTTTTTCTTTCTCAAAAAGGAAAAGAAAGAAAAAAGAAACAAAAAGAACAAACAAACGGTAAGAAGAAGAAGAAGAAGAAGAAGAAGAGGTGAATTTACAAGCCCAGCACGCTCGTAATGTAGTCGGCTCTGGCAGCCAGTCCAAACTAAACCTTCGTATCTGGAAGTACGATTTGATCTTCGTGGGGACGCTTTTTATAACGATTTATCCTTTGTGCGTTTTCTACCAGTCGGCACGATCCTTCTTACACCCCCCCCCCAACTCCCACCCCCAACCCAACCCTCTTCTATATATATATACAAGAATGTTATCCATTCAAAAGTGTAAATAACACTTGATTGTATCTCAAAACAAGAAACCGAAAGAAAAAAATAAAAGAAATGAAACGATAACTAATATCGTGACTCTAAAAATCATATTTCTTATTGATAATGAAATAATATATATTACGAGTAAGTATGTCAATAATTGTGTACGTGTTATATTACAGGTAGAATTTTGATACTTATGTTAGAATATATATATTATATTTGTTTTCTTGGTATTAGATGTAATTTTGATATTTTTATCTGATAAAGAAAATTTCTAAATATTTATTTAATAATATATATGTGTGTGAAACGGGTGTGAAATTAATATGATAATGATTATTGACACGAGTTATATTGGCAAATATTTATTTTCTGAAAATCAAATAATTGTGTTAGAATATTTTTTGATGACAATAAAATGCAAGGTAACTAGTGTATTATACAGGATAACAATTCGTTTAACATTATTAGATCGAAGTAAGGAACGACGAAATCGATAAGATTTAAATTTGGCGCGTTAATCTTATCTCAAACTCGATTCGTCAAATCTCAATGGCGATCATCGTTTAACACGTTGTGATTCGAATCGATCGGCAAATATGGGAAAACATAAAGTATGCCCAGTGCATGCACCATGCCCAACTATTAAACTCGCCCAATAAGGTAGTTCTAACATACGTACGTGACTCGTTCTACGTGTACGTACTACGAGATATACACCTATGAAGACACTGAATCGAGATTACGTTTGCGTGGGAAGCTGATATGTAATACGAAATTCACGATTTCTTACCGATCGGAAGTAAAATCGATTTTTATCTATTTTCCCCCCCTTTTTTTTTTTTTTATCCTGATCCTTACAAACTTATCTCTTTTATTTATGTACCTTTTTTTTTGGTCGCAAGTGTTATGATTTTTTTCGATAAGATATTCTTTCAACGTTGCATCGAACTACCTTGATCTTTTTTTTTTTAAATACTTTTCAAATACGAACAAGATTTTCAAGTTTTACGATTTCAACCGAGAAAACACAAAGAACACCCGAAAGTCTATTAAATTCTCGGTGAAAGGAATTCGTATTGAAATACCATTCGAGTTTTGTCTGAATCATAAGGGAACGAACAAGAAATCTGGTTGGCGAATCGGATTGAATTATTTCTTCGAATGTTATTAGTTGACGGATCGCGAATCGAAATATATTTTTCTAAAAGAGAAAAGAAGAAATATAAGATAAACAATTCACATATAAAAATGTTCCTCTCAACTTGCAATTTTATTTATGCGTATTGAAGCAAAAGATTTGATGTATAATAAAATATGTTCAATTAATTTGACTCCACGTGAATACGATCTAACATAAACGATGAAGAATTATCTGATTTCACTGACGAGAGTAATAATAATCGAAACATGTGCGTTAACCATTATGAATTCTTTTTTTTGAATTAATTTACAATATTTCAAAATAAATATAATAAATAATGAATATAAGATTACACGTTGAGACTTTTTGAATGGAATTAATAAATAATTACGTTTGAAATTAAACACACATTTCGAAATAGCTTACTGTTAGACGAAAATGAATATTAATGAAAGTCATGTACTCCCAAGTGGGGTCAGTCAAAGTGCAAGTCATCTTTCAAAAAGTTTAAGAAAGGGACGGAACCCTAAACCGTTCAACGATGCATAATTCATAGCGCTGACCTGATATTACGATGTTGCCTGACGGTACGATGTAAACACTCATAAATACAGAAAATTGATAGACGTTGCTCTTCTCATAAAGAAACGAAGAAGAAGAAGAAGAAAAAAAAGAAATACAAAAAGGCGTATAACCATAACGTGGATCGTAAATTTCGAGAGATCAATAAATTCCATTGACAAAAAATTAAAATATCATTATACAAGAAAAAAAAAAAGGTCCCAAATAACGAATGAAAATCGTCCAATCTATTAATATAATAAAAAGAATACTTATATCGTGTTAATATAAACAATCAAATATATATATATATTTAATATTTTTCTTCGACAATCATTCGTACTCATTTAATATTATATCATTAAATTATATAATTATAATTAAGATAATATTGTTAGAAAATACGGAGAAAGAAAAAAAAGAAAGGAGAAGAAGAAGAAGGGCTCACCTTTCGAGAAGTATTTCACACGGCGTTTATAAAAAAACTCTTGATAATCCAAAATATGATGAAGAATAACAGGATATCTGTATTTTTAAATCGGTGCACCGATTTTATTTACAATTAACGATTGAAAATCGCAAAGAATATAATTCTTTTTTCTTTTATTAAAAAGAGATAAAGAAAATTTTCTGTCAGATCAGAAGGATCACATCCAAAGGAACGTGGATACCACCGGTGTGTCACGAACCGACACGGTCCGAGTGCTGAGCTAAACTGAAGTGTGGTGCGGCCTCGAAGAACGCCGTTACAATGTAGCGCAAACTCGACGAGCATGGGATGTGAAGCTTCTTGGCATTAAGGGCTACTACCGCCAAGCGAAAAACGACAATCTCTTCTTCTCATCTAACCACTCAATTTTTTTCTATAAAAGAAAAAGAAAAAAATAAAGAAACAAAAAATAAATTCATCTGCAACTCGCGATCATTTTTTTCTTCTTAATTCCAAATTCCACCATATTTGCAATAATTTGCAATTATTTAAAATAAATAAATTATAATATATATTTATATATATATATATCTTCTTCTACCTCATTTTATTAGAACTTTGTCCTGTTATAATAGCTTTTTTTTTTATTGCTATTTCTATTGGATATTTATATGTATATAATTTTTATTATAATTAAAATCGATGCACAAGAAGAAATAAGTTTTTTCAATGCTTCTACAACAAACAAAATTAATCTCTACGATCTGTGTAATTATTTGTATTTAAATAATAATAATAATAATTTTATGAAGAAATTAATATGTAACAAAATATTAGAATATTCGTGAAAAAGAAATAAAAATTTAATAGTTGCCAAGAGAGTGGTTTAAAGATTTTTCGTGCAGACACTATAAACGATGATCTTTCGAGAACATCGAGAAGCCATTGTCATAATCATCCCCTTGATGTTCGGAATACCATAATTACGAACTTTAATCCCATAAATGATGGTAACTGTTGGAAATATCGAGTGGTACTACACGTTCACGAGTATTAACGAAATAAAAGGGAACAAGAAATTTATGAACAAAAGATTGTAGAAACTATAGGGTGTAAAATTCGTTCGATACTATACTTTCTTCTCTATATTATAGCTTTTCCATGTGTACAGTTCGTAGGGTTGGGTTTACCCCTCAGTTTTCCTAGGATTCGAATTACACATCGTGTATGTTATAAGGGCGAACTGGCTAGGAAGGCGCCAGCCAACCTTCCCTTTCAAAATTTATTACTTTTATGAAAAAGAAATCCCTAAGCTAGGGTCAAACGTTATACCATCGTAAATTAATACAAATGTATCGACTCGTTGATGTTTTATAGTTTTCTAAACGACGTAATACGAAGTTGGTTGTTAATAAAATAACAAATAATTCATATTCGTGTGTCGTTTTATTTCATTTAAATATTTTAATATTATTTAAAAAATAAAATGGTTGAAAAAAAAAGTAGATATAGTACTTCGGTTAAAGAAAAATCATCAAACGGTATGTTAGATTATAATTTGTTGAATATTATTATTTAATCGTTTAAATATAAAAAAAAATAAAATCTTATTATTTCGAAGTTGAAACGTCAAGGATCCCGTCGGATAATTTTATGACAGAATTTTTATCCCATTGCAAAGAATACGATGCTGATAGTTCACCTAAATTTATGGTAAATATTAAACGAACAAACAATTGATATAATATTAGAAAAGAGTAATAATACTTGGATAAAATTATTTTTAGATAAAGAATAGTATGATGGACGTTAAACTAACTCATCGATTTTCTCAGCTGCACGGAATCACTTTGATAGCGGATCCTAAACAAATATTAGCGTACCTATAATATTATTTTCGCACGAACCGTGCTGGTAATATTTTCACCGTTAAATCGATATCTAAGTTAATACGTTTGTTTTCTATTTTAAGAAAAAATGATCGAGAGGATCAACCTACATTTCATTTGACTTATGAAAATCCTAGGTTATTGGAAAACTTGCAAAAATTCGAATGCAAAGATTAGTTTTTATATTTAATATTTTGTTCAACGTTACATATTACGATTTGGATATAATTAATAATTTTTCGTTATCGAATTTTACGACAGGAAGTTTCTGTTTGCATTTTAGATGCATTATATTTGACGTTAAATAATTATCGTACACTAACCGTATTAAAGTAAACATAATCAAATTCTCATTATCGTATTTACAATTTTTCAAATAAAATAATATATGCTTGATATTTGATAGATTACCAAATTGTTATATAAATGCATACGGTATTATTCAAATATGTTGCATGCTAACGGATTACAATTGTTTGAGAGATTTGAATTTAGATAGAAATCCAAATATACAAGAAAATTATCATCTCTTATGCAAATCTGCTGGAAAGTACGTGAAATTATGAATAAATTGTTATAATCATTAATATATTCTTTCTTCTTTTTTTTTTATTATTAAAATAACAATTTAATTATATTTTCTTTTTAGCTTGCACTACTTGTCCTTGCAATTGTGTAAAATTACAGACGAGGGTGTGAAAAAAATAGCTGACGAATTGCAATACGCTGATCCACCTAACGAACCAAAATTATTAGCACTTAATTTATCGAATAATCGTATCGGTGATCGAGGAGCTGAAGAAATCGCACGAATGTTACGAACAAATCGGTAAACGAATGATTTTATTTATGGAATCACGAGTTCTAACAAATTAAATAACATTTTCTTAATTCCAATTGCAGTTCTCTTCGGAGTCTGATATTAACAGGAAACAGGATATGCGATGACGGTGCTATTTTGATAATCCAAGAACTTAATATGTCAGTTAAAGCATGATTATTCTATCAAAGAATTTATTAGCAAAATGTTATAGAAGTTCTATTTCCCTTTCTGTTTTTTTTTTTTTACAAATATCAGGTCGAAATTAACGCATTCCGAGATCGTAGATCTTCGAAGACGTAGATACGATGCTTTGATATTACGAGAAACTAAATTCAATGATGTAAATCGAATTAATGAAAACGAAATGACGAAAATTAGCGAAGATTTATCCAATTTAGAGATCGTTGTACAAACGAAAATGACCAACAAAGTTACGAATAAATCCAAGAAATCGAAAAAACGTACGAGAATCTCACAATACGAATGAATAATTATTTTGAATCGTTGGATTTTTATGATACGATATTAAAATCAATTGTTTTTTGTTTTTTTTTGGATAGTTTCACTTTCTAATAGGTCTTCCAAGATAACGGTGCAAGAAAATTCTACAAACGTGCCTCGACTTTCGGTAATATTACAATTAAAAAAATATATATATATATATATATATATACATATATAAATTACTATTTGCATTTTCGTTTTTAGACGATGTCGGAAAAAAATTCGATCATAGAAATTGATCATCCTTTTGGTAAAGAAAGTGTTGCCAGAGAAGGAGTCGTAAGAACAAGCGGAAATTTTCTATTAAAACATTTAAATTTGAGTTGTATATTGAATATTTTTAATATTTATTTTGAATATTATAATATTATTATTTAAAAAAAAAATATATATATATTATTATATTACAGTTAATCATTTATCTGGCAAGATTATAAAAAAGTTCATAGATTGTTTGCGTTATCAGACTTATGTGATGATGAGTGATACGAGCAGAGGTTTGCTTTATGTAAGAATAGAGGTAATTGTCTTTAATAATAGATTTACCTAACTTTAAGTAAACATATTATTATACTTTCACTCTTAAATATCAGGGAAATGAGTTTACGCGAGAAGATGACAAAGATTTAATTGAATTGGAAGAACTCTTGCGGTCCAGACAAGCTGGTGAATATTTGTCTAAATCCGATGATACAGAAGATTCGATTCCATTGGATAAAAATAATGATTTATGAAAAAAAAATCATTCGTTTATTAATATACACAGACAAAATAAAAATTAAATGGAAAAAAATATACAGGGATGGTTTTTAATTGCGTTTGAAGGAAAACAACAACAAAATTAAAAAAAAGGAAGTTCTTTCGAATTCGAAACGCGATTGGCGCGAAATACAAAATGGCGTGATTCTTGTGTACTTGCTCAGAAGATCTTATCAAACGAACTTAGAACCGTTGACCTCCCACGCGTATTGTTGTTGACCGACGATATTATATCCTACTTATGTTAGACGAGTTTCATTTCAAACGTGTTTTCCTATTGTCCTTTTGTAATATTTCTTAACTTTTATTAATAATATCTTTTTAAAAAAAACGTTTTACAATTAAAGCAATGATCTTTCGAATTGCATCGGCCGTCTTGTTAACAAGCATCACTGTATTGGAATTTTGTACAATATTTAATTACGCAACGAACGATTCGAGTTTGTTAAACGAGGTAATTTGTCATTATTTTTCTATTTAATTCATTTGATATTTTTTCGTTTTATTTTTATTATAAAGAAAAACTAATAATGACTAATAACTAGAATAAAAATAAATAAATCAAGAAAATTTTAATTTTGTTCTCTGTTGTTTGAAATATAATTGAACAATTTTATATGATCAAATAATTGCAATTATATTATTGTAATAAATTTGATTATAATAAAAAGTATACCATACATGTATACATATCATATACATATAAATATATAAATATAATTTGTGTAGCGGCAAGAATCAGGAACTAGAATACTATTGGTTTGAACCCTGATCACCACTACTATTTTTATGTAACATTTATTTATTTATAAACTATTACAGAACAAAACGAAAACAAGAACAAAAACGGATAACAAAAATGCGTTGAGGATTAATACGTTGTGTAGCGAGTAAGTGCAACTTCTTGACTAACTAATTTATTTTCTAACAACGAAAG